CACACACACACACACACACACACACACACACACACACACACACACACACACACCAATAGATTGAAGTGGGGAGCTTGAAAACAAGAATACTAGTCAAGAAACTCAAAATGCTGGGCACTAGTGGCTCATGTCTGTCATCCTAGCTACTCAGGAGGCTGAGATCTGAGGATCATGGTTCAAAGCCAGCCTGGGCAGGAAAAGTCTATGAGACTCTTTTTTTTTTTTGTCGGTCAAGGGGCTTGAACTCTGGGCTTGGGCTGTCCCTGCACTCTTCAGCTGGAGGGAAGTGCTCTACCGCTTGAGCCACAGCGCCACTTCTGGTTTTTGAGTGGTTTATTGGAGTTAAGAGTCTCATGGACTTTACTGCCCAGGCTGGCTTTGAACCGTGATCCTCAGATCTCATCCTCCTGAGTAGCTAGGATTACAGGTGTGAGTCACCGGCGCCCAGCTCTATCTCCAATAAACCACAAGAAAACCAGAAGAGGCGCTGTGGCTCAAGTGGTAGAGCACTGGGCTTGAGTTTAAGAGCTCAAGAACAGTGCCCAGGCCCAGAGTTCAAACCCCAGGACTAACAAAAGAAAGAAAAGAAACTCAAAATATTATTATTATTTTTGGGTCCGGTCGTGGGGCCTGAACTCTGGGCCTGGGCGCTGTCTCTCGGCTTTTCAGCTCAAGGCTAGTGCTCTACCACTTGAGCCACAGTGCCACTTCTGGCTTTTTTCTTTTTGCTTATGTGGTGCTGAGGAATCAAACCCAGGGCTTCATGTATGCAGGGCAAGCGCTGTACCACTGAGCCACCTTCCCAGCCCTCAAAATATTATTTCAGGAAATTGAGGAAAGTGGTTTTGAACTAGAGAAAGCCTTAGACATATTGAGGAGTGGTCTTGACTCTGCTGTTTTCATGAAAGTTTTAACAGGATTTCTGGGCATATTGGATATGGAGTTTAAGAGAAGACTAAGGAAGGCTGGGCATTGTGGTATGTATTAGTAATCCCAGCATTCTGGCTGAGGCAGGAAGCCAGGTATCTTAAAGGCATCCTGGAGTTCATAGCATGACTTTGTATCAGGAAAAAAAATTCCCAGCCAGTCACCAGTGATTCACATATATAATCCTAGGTACTCAGCAGGCTGAGATCTGAGGCTTGAAGCCAGCCCAGGCAGGAAAGTCTGAGAGACTCTTATCTCCAAATAAATCACAATTGGTGCTGTGGCTCAAGTGGTAGAGTGTTAGCTTTGAACAAAAGGAGCTCAGAGACTGTGCCCAGCTCCTGAGTTCAAGCCTCAGAACTGGCAAAAAAAAAAAAAATCCAAGGAGATTGGAATGGCAGGATATAGCTGCCTACGGCCTGAACTGGGAGGGGCAATAGCTAGAATGGATTTGATGTATGATCTACTTGTTTGGAGATGACTTGTCAAACACTCTCAGGCTCAATAGCCAACTACCTAATTATCAATTACCTAACTACCCAGCTGGAGAATAGGTAGTTGGCTGTTGAGCCTGGGAGTGCCTGACAAGTCATCTCCAAACACATGGATCAATAGGTAGTTGGCTGTTGAGCCTGGGAGTTCAGCAGATAGCTTGAGCTAGAAACATAGTTTAGTTTCCAAGCTGGGCACAGCACCAGAGACTCATGTCTCTAATCCTGGTTACTCAGGAAGCTGAGATCTGAGGATCACAATTTGAAGCCAGGACAGGGCAGGAAAGTCTGTTAGACAGTTCAGAATATGGATATGTTGTCAGAGAACAAATGTGACTAGCAGGGAGAAGAAATTGAAACCCCAAATGTAGGCAATCTAGATGAAAGGGGGCTCAGAAACAGCAGGATGTTCAGATGCTTCAAGCCTGATCCTCAATCCACGGCTCCAGAAGCTTCTGTTTCAGGGCAAATCCCAGGAATAGATATCCCAAGCATTTTGAGGTATTGCTTTTTTTTTTTTTTCAAAGTATTGGCAGTGTAGGGGTGGTGGTTCCTAAATCTTTCCTCTACAATGGACCCTTAAGCAATTTTCTGTGGGCACAGAGAAGCATGATTTGTCTTCCTTCACCTTGTTTCTTACTGTTTTCCAAGGAACCAGCCAAGCAGCATTTCTTCTCCAAGCATGACAACCGCATTTCCTTCGACAAAGTGAGTGCTAAAAAGTAGGAGAGGGAGAAATCCCTCAGCCTATGTTGAAGTTCAAGACAGAGGTGGGTGGTAGGGTAGATGAGAGACCTTGGGGGGAAGGGATTGCTCCTTCAACAGGTAGACAACCGTCTTATTTCTCCCTCACCATTCTCCTCTTGGGAAAAAGCCCATCCCCTAGACAAAGCTATTGGTTTCCTTTGCTAGCTTGTCTGACAGTATGTAGATATTCTGTGGTGGGCCAGGCACTGATGGGTCACACCTGTCATCGTAGCTACTCAAGAAGCTGAGATCTGAGGATCATAGTTCAAAGCCAGCTTGGGGGGAGGTAAGCCTATGAGATTCATCTCCAATTAGCTATCCTTCCCCCCCCCCCGCAAAAAAAGCCAGAAGTGGAGCAATGGTGTAAAGAGTACAAAAAACTCAGGGACAGCTGGGCGCCAGTGGCTCACGCCTTTAATCCTAGCTACGGATCTGAGGATCTCAGCGGTTCAAAGCCAGCCCAGGCAGGAAAGTCCATGAGACTCTTATCTCCAATAAGCCACTCGAAAACCGGAAGTGGCACTGTGGCTCAAGTGGTAGAGCGCTCGCCTTGAGCTGAAGAGTGCAGGGACAGCACCCAAGCCTAGACTTCAAGCCCCATGACCCACCAAAAAAAAAACAAACAAGCAAACTCAGGGACAGCACTCAGGCATAGGGTTCAAGCCTCAGGACTGGCACCTCCCCCTATTCTAACATTCCCCTCCCCCCAAAAACTGTGAGACCACCGTGTTCTCATGGATGACATCTCTGAGAAGGTAGGCCAAAGAAACCAGGGTACAGGTCAGGGAAGCCAAACATAATCTAGGCATCAGGAAGTAGATTTAGGATTAGGTGGGATCCAAGGAAGTACCTGGTGCCAAGACTGTGGGCCAAGGGCCCATACCGTTGAGAAGGGCCCCTACTGGCTGCTACAGGGAATCGGAAGACGGAAAGATCTGGAGCGTCTGTGGCAGCGTCATACCTTCCTGCGCTGGGCACCCAACGAGCTGGAGTTGAGCCATCAGCGACCTCTAAAATCTTCCTACCAGGTTGACTTCCGGCCAGGCCCAAAACTTGGTCTTATCCCCCAGCGCCTCGTGGACTTTATGAAAGTCCAGCCTCCCTGTGCCAACACCACCTACCAGCAAAACTTCTGCCAGTTAGCCCACAGTGACTACTGCAGCATCAACAAAGAAGACTCCCAAGAGCCAGCCACAGACACATTGCCTGACCTCCCAGACATCCGGAAACCCAAGCTACTGCAGCATTACCTTCATGCTGGGGTGTCTGAATGTCTAAACTGGTCTAAATCATTAAAGAAGAATAGTTGATATACCAGCCTGTTCATACTTGCTAGCCTAGGGAAGGGGGCCAGTGAGCTGTGATTCCCTAGGCCTAGAATATCTGTGTTCATATACGTGTGTTAGGTGGGGTCTTGGGGACCTGGGCATTAAGAAAGTATGGAGGGCTGGGAATATGGCTTTGTGGTAGAGTGCTTGCCTAGCATGCATGAAGCCTTGGATTCAGTACCACATAAACAGAAAAGGCCAGAAGTGGTGGTAGACCAAAGTGGTAGAACAAAAAGAAGCTCAGGGACAGTACCCAGGCCCTGAGTTCAAGCCTCAGGACTGGCAAAAAAAAAGTCTATGGATGGCATTCAGGAGGCTTGACTTCCAGTAAGCCAGGTGCCAGTGGCTCACACCTGTAATTCCAGAATGTGATTTCACATCTGTAATCTTAGCATGTAATCACAGGAGGCTAAGATCTGAGGATCATGGTTCAAAGCCAGCCCAAGCAGTAAAGTCCATGAGACTCGTATCTCTAACTACCAAGTTGGAAATGAGGCTGTGGCTCAAAGTAATACAGTGCTAGCCTTGAGCACAAAAGCTCAAGGACAGTGCCCAGGTTCTGAGTTCAAGACCCCAAGCCAGCAAAACAAAAAAGTAAGGCTGAAGCCAGGCCCTGGTAGCTCATGTCTATAATGGTCCAGAGGCTGAGATCTGAGGATTGTGGTTTAAAGGTCAGCCTGGGAAGGGAAGTCTATAAAACACTTTATTTCCAAGGAACCACCAAAAAAAAAAAAGCCAGAAGTGGTGCTAGGGTAGAGTGCTAGCATTGAGCAAAAAAATCTCAGGGACTGTGCCTAGGACCTGAGTTCAAGCCCCAGGACAGGCATACACAACACACACACGCGCGCACACACACACACACACACACACACACACACACTATATGGGACCGAGACACCAAGTCATTACAGGTGCAGAAGGTAGATCCAAGAGATTCCTTTGAGACTTTAAAGGAAAGCAGGGTTTTTTTGGTTGGCGTGGGGCCTGAACTCTGGGCCTGGGCACTATCCCTCAGCTCTTTAGCTCAAGGCTAGCGCTCTACCACTTGAGCCACAGCGCCACTTCCTGCTTTTTCTGCTTTTGTGGTGCTGAGGAATCGAACCCAGGGCCTCATGCATGCAAGACAAGCACTCTACCACTGAGCCACCTTCCCAGCCCCAAGCAGGGGTTTTTGAGAGCAACATAGAGGAGTCCACATCAGATTTTAGCAGTATTTTTACTTCTACATCCAAACTCCCTGGTTCCTCACAACAGCCCCGTGAGGTAGGTAGGGCAGGAAGGTTTCAGAGATCCCCATTTATAAAGATGAGGACACTGAGGCACAGAATGACTTGCCCCAAAGTCATACAAAGCATCAGTGTGGAAGGCCTCAAAGCCAGCATTCCCCTGGCCCACATTCTGTCTTCCATTCACCTCTGTCCCCCACTACTCTGAACACTCATTGGATCTACTAAGACCCTCGAGGCGGGTCAACAGTTGAAAAATTTTCAGGAATGGCCACTGGGGTAGGTGTTGTAGGGAGGCGGGGGGATAGGGTTTAAGGCCAGCTTTCCTCTCTCCCCACTTCCCAGTTGGATAGAGGGCCTAAGTAGTTTCTAGGACAACAGCTGAGCTAGATATGGTTCATGACTAGACGGTGGTAAAGGGAGTGTGAGTAAACAGTATGCTAATGACAAAGGCTCTCCAGCCCCAATCACGGAAGGCTGTGTGCCTCAGTGTCTACCTCTAGTGCTTCCTGCACCCCCACAAAGCCACAGAGAGCTCCCTCCGCTACAAAAGGAGTCAGACACCTGCTTCCCCTGAGCTGCTCCAATGAACCGGTCCCACCAGTCCTTCAGACTCCATCCCGCAGACATAGTGCTTCTACAGCTTGGCTGGGACCCTGGGCCACACCGCCAATCACAAACAGCCTGGACCCAGCCTGGAGGCTAGAACAGGAGCAGCGGGCTGTGGGCATAGCCGGCAGTGCCTCCCAGCGCCTTCGGGCAAGACTGAAGCTCTCTGCAGAGCCCAGAGGGCATGGCTGATTTCCTGCAGGAAGAGAGAGGGATGATTGTAAGGTGCCCCAGGCCTTTTTGCTCCCTAAAAGCTAGTGCATGATCCAAAGTTATCATTGCAGGATAGGCTAAGTGCTTTGCTCCTCATTGGCTCATGCATGCATTCATTCATACTCTGATCTGTCCACTAGGTCACACATTCAGTGATCATTTATTCTCTGTGTCCTTGGCCTTTATACTGTCTCTCTCTCTCTCTCTCTCTCACACACACACACACACACACACACACATGTCCCTATTTAAGCACTAGGGGACACCCTAAGAATTGGGCCAGACAGAGTACACCCTGACTGTTTTATGGACAGGGAAAGTCCTGATCCTTGGAGACACAGAAAATAGAAGGGAGGGAGAGTCCTGATCGCTAGAGACCACAGAAATGGGGAGGAGAGGGGTTCACCTGGTAGGAACTATTCTTTCCTGTTTTTTTTTTTCCTTTTGCCAGTCCTGGGGCTTGAACTCTGGGCCTGGGCACTATCCCTGAGCCACTGTTGTTCAAGGATAGCATTCCACCACTTGAGCCACAGCACCACTTCCAGCTTTTTCTGTGATTAATTGGAGATAAGAGCCTCAGGAACTTTCCTGCCAGGGCTGGCTTCAAACCATGATCCTCAGATCTTAGCCTCCAGAGTAGCTAGGATTCCTTGAGCTGAAGAGCTCAGGGGCAGGCCCAGGCCCAGAGTTCAAGCCTCATGACCGACCGAAATAAATATACAGGACATCAGAATAGCTAGGATGACAGTGGTGAGCCACCAGCACCCAAATCTTTCCTGTCTTATGTTCCTTTCTTCTCCCTTGTCCCAGAGACTTACCAAGGCCCCCAATAGCCACAATGTGGCCCCCAAGGGAGCCAACCACAAAATCAGCTCTCTTATCCCTCATGCGTAGACTACGGGGAAGTTTGGTCCAGGATCCTGCAGGAGAAAATATATCAAGCCTAAATACACAGACACAGACACACACACACACACACACACACACACACACAATGCCCCTCCCTCCCACAGAGAATAAGACCATCCAGCATAGCCACTGCTCACCATGCTCCAGATCAAACATCTCCACAGTGTTGACAAAATGTGGGCGAGAGTAGAAATTGTGGGGCCCGGGCTGCTGCAGACCCCCCAAGCTGAATACATTATCTTCAGCCATGGCACAGCCAGCGAAGGCCCGGCGGCTGGGCAGGCTTGGATGTCGGGTCCAGGTACGGGCCTCCAAATCAAAAGCTTCGAAAGCAGTCACTGGGAGCTTGCCCTGGCGGCCTCCTGGCAAAGGAAATGGAGCAGTTGGGTGAGAGCTGAGTGGGTTTTGTGAGATATTCATTTATTGGGTAACTGATCTGTCTCCCCTGAGCTTCCCATACCCAGTGGTATTGCACAGTGACCCCCCACAAGACCCCTAGGCATTGAGTTTGATTTTGTTGTTGTTGGTTTTGGGGCTTGAACTCTGGGCCTGAGCATGGTCCCTGAGCATTTCAGCTCAAGGTGAGCACTCTACCACTTGAGCCACTGCACCACTTCTGATTTTCTGAGTGGTTTATTGGAGATAAGAGTCTCACAGAGGGCTGGGAAGGTGGCTCAGTGGTAGAGCGCTTGCCTTGCATGCCTGAGGCCCTGGGTTCGACTCCTCAGCACCACATAAGCAAAAAGAAAAAAGCCGGAAGTGGCGCTGTGGCTCAAGTGGTAGAGCGCTAGCCTTGAGCTGAAGAGCTGAGGGACAGCGCCCAGGCCCAGAGTTCAGGCCCCACAACTGGACCCGCCCCCCCAAAATAAAAAGAGTCTCACAGACTTTCCTGCCTGGGCTGGCTTTGAACTGTGATACTCAGATCTCAGCCTCTTGAGGAGCTAGGATGGCAGGCATGAGCCACCAGCACCCGGCTAGGTTTGATTTTTCCAACCCTAGCAGGGTCAAGAGAGGTTAGAACTTTACAGTAGGCCTGGATTATCCTCTTCCCCACCTCCTTCGAAGTTTTTCCATACTCATCCTCATCCTGATCCCTACTCCAGCCAGAAGTCTCCAGGATGGAGACTTTGAAATGTCTTCCCACATCCCCTAGCCCTTACCCAGGACATAGATCTTGTTCCCATGCAGGAAGGTAGAGGCCCCGTAGCAGGGAGTGGGCATGGAGGGGAGCGAAAGCCAGCAGTCTCGGCGGGGTTCATAGACTCGTACCTGGGCCTGGGGAGCTGTGTCAGGGCCCATTCCCCCTAGAGCATACACCAAACCATCTGTGTAGAAAAGAACACATTAGGCTGTACCCCAACCTGGCTAGGGCATCCCACACTGACAAGTTTGCCCTGGTCAGGCCCCTGGGGCTGATGGGAGTGGATAGAGACCCAGGTATTTATTTGAAACCTTGCTGGAGTGGTAACTTAAAAAGAGCTGGGATCCCTCCTCTGGCCAGGGGACCCTCCAAGTGAAGAGCAGGAGGCAGCTGATCTAATTATAATCCAGCTCCGTCTCCCTGGAGACGCTATGGCAACTAAGTCTGGCATCTAAGCAGGCTGGCCTGGACCTGGTGGTCAGACCAGAGGCCACAAGGTAGAGACTCCCCTGGGGGCGGGAGAGGGGGTGGCATATGGGGGAAAGGAGAAGGAGGATCAGCCCAGCTCAATCTGGAAATCAGACTCTGGGGATCCATTGGGAGCTGAGGTATAGGCTAGAAGAGAGGTTTGGGCTACAAGCCTTTAACCCCAATCATCCAGCCAGCACCACTACATCACAGCCTTACCTTACCCTAGAGAAGATTCTTGCCTTATTTTAGGCCTTAGTAAAGGTTAGTTCATAGTGTGTTTTCTCGGCCTTGGAATGATGGACAAGTCAGCTGGGGGCTTCCATGGCAACCATCCCCAGGTCGGCTCGGCCTCTGCCTACATCAAAATCGTGTGTGTGTGTGTGTGTGTGTGTGTGTGTGTGTGTGTGTGTGTGTGTGTTGGGAGGGGGATAGTCTAAGCACTTAAGCACTTGCTGGGCTCTAAGCCAAGGCCCTGCTCCCCTCCTCCACCCTGACTATTTATAACCAGGAGAGTCATTAGGCCACACCCCCTAGTGTCTCTGAGAAATGAAGAATGGGGCAAGATGGTGGCTGGAGGTGGGGCATGGGGGACAGAGGGAGGGGGAGAGGGTCTCCCATCCTTCTGGAGGCCAGCTTGGGCTATATGTTTCCCATCTCATAGCCAGAAAAGACAGCTCAACTGCAGGCTACTGTGACATTAGAGCTAGGTAGGACTGGATTTGAAGGGGCTCAGCCATATCCTGGGCATCTCTTGCCCTGTCCGGAGAGTAAAGGACCAAGACCAGAATGGAGGATGCCTGAGTACCTAATGGATCTTTTTTTTTTTTTTTTTTTTTAGTAGGGTCACTCACCTCTCTCCACCGTGGCCACTCCCATGGCTGCTTGAGGCAGAGTAGCTCGACGTTCCCAGCGGCCTTCATCGGCCAGGTAGGCTTCTACCGCAGCTACTGGGCTCTGGAGCTCATCCACCCCGCCCACCATGAGCACCTGCTTCCCCAGAACCACAGCGGCTGCACCAGCCCGGGCAGTGGGCAGGGGTGCCAACGCCAGCCATGTGTGTGAGGCCATGTCCAAAGTCTCGGCAGTGTCCAGAGGTAATCCAGCCCGGCCACAGCCCCCCAACACCAACAGGTGTCCATCTTGGTGGGCCACTGTACCATAGACACGGCAAGTAGGCATGGGAGGGAACACCTGCCAAGCAAAGGCCCGGCCACCACCTGCAGCCATGTTGCTCATGGCCAGTGGCAAGCCATGCTCTCTTCTCAGGCGATGAACCTCACTAGGAGAATGTGATGGGGCCACATTTTGATTGTACTAGGGTTGCAGGGAGTGTGTAACCGTTAGTCCACGACTGTGGCTTCTTCACCTGCAGGAGAGAGGGGAAAGGGTCAGGACTAATGCTCAGTTCTTCAGGAAACAGATGAGCAACTCAGAACAGGGGAAGCCCCAAATCCCTGATGAGAAAAGACCTCCCCTCTTTGCCTAGCATACCACTGGGGAGACCCCACTGGAGTGGGAAGACAAACTCAACATGCAGGTAGATTCCTCTCTGGCTATAGGATTAGGAGGGCTTTTCTTCAACCCCTGCTCTAACAACCAGGAGCTACTAGATCAAACCGGGTCTAAGGGGGAAGTAAGGTGACTAGAAGAGGATTCTCCATCCTAGTATCCTTCCACCCGCCCCCATACAAGTGAGGGGACCCTTCCCCCAAGTGCTATCAAGAACTAAACTCCATGCCTGGTGCTGGTGGCACACACCTATCATCCTAGCTACTCAGGAGGCTGAGATCTGAGGATCCTGGTTCAAAGCCAGCCTGGGCAGGAGAAGTCTATGAGACTCTTATCTCCAAAGAACTACCAGAAAACTGGAAGTGGCACTTGAGCTGAAGAGCTGAGGGACAGTGCCCAGGCCCAGAGTTCAAGCCCCAAGACAAACAAACAAAAAAAGAACTAAACTCCTCCTCTGGGGACCATTTCACAGGGTTCATCCACACTCACCAGCAAAAGACCAAGGCCAGCAGGGCCCCTGGTGGCTCACGCCTGTAATCCTAGCTGCTCAGGAGGCTGAGATCCAAGGACCGTAGTTCAAAATCAGTTAACTACTGGGAAAAGGTCAGAAGTGGCCCTGTGGCTCAAGAGCTAGAGAGCTAGCTTTGAGCCAAAGTAGCTCAAGCAGATTGCCCTGGCTCTGAGTTCAAGCCCCAGGACTGGCATGCACACACACACACAAAATGACCAAGATCTGGGGCCTGGACCTCAGGATTCCAGTCTATTTTTGTTTTCCAGTCACGGGGCCTAAACTCTGGACCTAGGCACTGTACCTCAGCTCTTCAGCTCAAGGCGAGTGTTCTACCCCTTAAGCCACAGGGCCACTTCCAGCTTTTTCTGCTTCTATGGTGCTGAGGAATCGAACCCAGGGCCTCATGCATGCAAGGCAAACCACTTCCACTAAGCCACTAACCACCTTCCCAGCCCCTCCACTCTACTCTTGACATTCAGGCTCACGGGTTTGCCCAGGCCAGCAGGTTGGATCCAGAGGGGAAACTGATTTAATGAAGGGTCCCAAGAGGGTCCAGGGCATTTTCTGTAAGACAAAAAGCAGCTGGGATTTCTGAGCACGTTAGGATCAATCAGTTTCTTCAAGTGTTTTTTTTTCCCCCCAAGCCTCCCCTTTTTCAATGGAGACTCCACTACTAAGCACCCCTGGACCTGACAAAAGAGGGCCCCAAACTTGGCAGCTGGAAGAAGAGGTGGGGGCGGGGTCTGGCTAGAGTAGACTTGGGGCGCTATGCCTCACACCCCCCAAACTCTTCCCCTGAGCGCGGGTTCCCACGGGGGACTCACTCACCCTACGGGGTGGGGGGTGGTCTCTGTTGTCACCAAGGCACTGGGTGGATGGGGAGAAAGTGGGGGTTGGGGGGCGGTCCAGCCCGTTCCACCTCCGCTGACGCCCCGGCTCCGGTTAGGGATTGAAGCTGGGATCTGGCGGGGGCTCCGCACCGGCTCCGGCGTGGGGCGGGGCTGCACCGGGTCCGCCCCTTGCTTCTTCCCCCTCCCCCCCTCCTCTCCCCTCCGATTCAGGGTGGGGGGGCGGGAGTGGGGGGGAGAGAGGAAACCTCCTCCCGCCTTAACTCTGCACACGCCACAGCCGGAGCAGGGCGCGCGGCCACACACGGACCTACAGGCTTCTTGGGTAGACCCTTGGGCCTGCAAGGATTTAGGGTGCGATCGAGGAGGGCGCGTTGGTAAGCTGTTATGGTGGGAGGGTGTCCGGGGTGGGGGAGGATCGTTCTGAGCTGGAACCAAGAGGCCGGAGCACCCCTCACCCCCCCCACCCCCGCCCCATCTCAGCTGAGCGCTGAGATCTCCAACCACGGGCTCGACGACGGCGCCCCCTGGAGGCCACTTGAGGCCTAGCCTGGGCCGCCTTGTCTGATGGGAAGCATTGAGTTGGATTGCACCAACCCAGGCAACAAAGAAGGGCACAATATTAGACTCCGTACATCTCCTGGGGACCAATGGGAAGGGAAGAAATGGACCCTGGTGAGAGTAGGGCTTGACAGGCCCTTTTTGACAGGCCTAGATGGGGGAAATTCTTGGGTTAACTGGGCAGAGGAATGGACTAGAAAAGTCAAGAGACAAGTCAGAAGTCTAGGGCCTCTGGTCACTCTGGTCTCTTACTCTAAGATCTGAGACTAGAGCTGGGAAGGTGGCTTAGTGGTAGAGTGTTTGCCTAGTATGCATGAAGCTCTGAGTTCGATTCCTCAGTATCACATACACAGAAATAGCTAGAAGTGGCACTGAGGTTCAAGTGGCAGAGTGCTAGCTTTGAGCCAAAGAAGCTCAGGGACAGTGCCTAGGCAGCCTTGAGTTGAAGCCCCAGGACTGGCAAAAAGGAAAAAAGAAAACAGATCTAGGACTGGTACTACTCTGTGTTCCAAAGTGACTGTCTGTGGTCCTGATATAGAGCCTGCCTCTAGCCAACTATGGGATCAAATAAGAACAAATTGGTGCGGAGAGGACTCACTTACTTCAGACTCAAACGCAGGCTCAGCTTACGCTTTTTGAGTATTCAGACTATAGCTGACTTTTTGTTGTTGATGGTGACTGTAGAATTTGAACTCAGGGCCTGGGCGCTGTCCCTGAGCTCTTCAGCTCAAGGGCTAGCACTCTACCACTTTGAGCCATAACACCACTTCCAGTTTTCTGGTGGTTCATTGGAGATAAGAGTCTCATAGACTTTCCTGCACGGGCTGGCTTTGAACCATGATCCTCAGATCTCAGCCTTCTGAGTAGCTAGGATGACAGGCATGAGCCACCAGCGCCCAGCTTATTAGCTGATTTTCCTAGCTGGGGACCCACTTGTACAGGGCAGCAGTCATTTGTCTTTGTCTGCTTACTGCTTTGTCCCTCTTTCATGTGTAGTGATTGTTTTAGTGTTGCCCAAAGCAGACATGGAGACAAAGATAAAAGTGCAGAAGTTAGTGTGGGAGGTGAAGCCAGAAAGAACCAGCAGAGGAGTAGCAAGTAGGCAGCCAATTAGGGAGGTGTCATCAAGCATGTTATCACTATGGGAAAATGGAATCAGATCCTTAAGAGGATTCTGGGAACCAGTGTAGAACTGAGCCTTACATTATGACTGCCCCCGAAGAGCAAGGGGGAACTAAGGAAAATTAAGTTTGATAACTAAACTCATTGTCAAATTCCTATCCATTGGCTGGGAAGGTGGCTTAGTGGTAGAGTGCATGCCTAGCGTGCATGAAGCCCTGGGTTCCATTCCTCAGTACCACATACACAGAAAAGGCAGAATGATGCTGTGGCTCAAATGGTAGAGTGCTAGCTTGAGCACAAAGAGGCTCAGGGACAGTGTCCAGGCCCTGAGTTCAAGCCCCAGGACTGGAAAAAAACAAAGAGCAGGAGAATCCTCATGCCTGTGGCTCATGCCTGTAATCCTATCTATTAACAAGGCTGAGATCTGAGGATGGTGGTTCAAAGCCAGTTGGGGCAGAAAAGTGGGTGAGATTCTTATCTCTTGTAAATCACTAGAGTGTAAGATCTACAGTCAGCTTGTCAATTAAGGCCCAACCCTGTGTCCCTGTTTACAAAAATCTGTTAAGTTGGGCTGGGAATGTGGCTTAGTGGTAGAGTGCTTGCCTAGCATGCATGAAGCCCTGGGTTTGATTCCTCAGTACCACATACACAGAAAAAGCCAGAAGTGGCGTTTTGGCTCAAGTGGTAGAGCACTAGACTTCAGCAAAAGAAGCTCAGGGACAGTGCCCAGGACCAGAATTCAAACCCCACAACCGACAAAAAAAAAAGACTTTAGCCCATATTAGTCGCTTGCCTCTCATTTCTTACATGAGTGCGCGCACGCTCGCACACACACACACACACACACACACACACAGAAGTGGTTCTGTGACTCAGACTGCTAAAGCACTAGCCTTGAGCAAAAATATTCAGGGACAATGCCCAGGTCCTGAGTTCAAGCCTCACGACAGAGAGAGAGAGAGAGAGACAAAGAAAGAGAGACAGAGACAGAGAGAGACACAAAGACAGAGACAGAGAGGAGAGAGTCACAGAAAGACAGAGACAGAGAGAGACACAGAGACAGAGAGAGATTCAGAGAGACAGAGACACAGAGAGACAGAGAGAAGACAGATTTTGTGGTTTCTGCTAGACACCTTGGCTATGCTTGAAGGCATTAAGGACCATCAGTTCTGAGTCCTCAAGAAGCTAAAGGACAGACTGCAATGTAGCTCACAGATTAGATATATGCACAGCTGGACCCAGAGCCTGGGGTTCTGTGTAGCACAGAATCTAAGGTGGAAAAGCACTTACTTAACAAGTGCAACATCATGGTAAGGCTGGGAAGGTGGCTCAGTGGTAGAGTGCTTGGCTTGCTTGCATGAGGCCCTGGGTTCGATTCCTCAGCACCACATAGGCAGAAAAAGCCGGAAGTGTGCTGTGGCTCAAGTGGTAGGGTGCTAGCCTTGAACTGAAGAGCTGAGGGACAGTGCCCAGACCCAGAGTTCAGGCTCTACGACAGACAAAAAAAAATCATAGGTTTGATCCCCAGTATCAAAAAAGAAAAAACGAAGAAGAGGCAGAAGGGGAGGAAGAAGAAGAAGCTGGTAAGCTACATCAGTTAAGGGCTAAGGCATGGCCAAGTGGAACAGTCATTTGTCTTTAGGGGTGCCTGGGCCTCACTGTATAGGCAAAGAAATTGAGGACTCTGGGCTCATAGAGAAGAAAGACTCTAAATGACGCAAGCAACCATCTTTTATTACCCATCACCAACTACTAAACACGCCACCATGGTGAGGGCTAGAGTATAAGAATTGTACTCTAGGCAGTTTTCTGCTTTCTGGTTTAGGATCTGACGTTTTACTTCATACCAGGATCCCATACTGGTTTGCAACTTGTACTTGGGATCTCCTGACCTGTGGGATCTTTGGTTAAAGCTTTGGAGACCATCTAGATTTCCTTTGCCCCCCCCCAATGTTAATTTTGACTATGCCATCTAATTTGGTGCTGCTCTAGTAGAAGAACCTATAACCCCTTTGCAGGCTAAAGAGCATAGGTGGAAAGATTGAGGTCCTTATAGGTCAAAAGATAGGTACCTTGGGAGGTATGGGCTGGGAAGGTGGCTCAGTGGTAGAGTGTTTGCCTTGCATGCATGAGGCCCTGGGTTCAATTCCTCAGCACCACAGAAGCAGAAAAAGCTAGACATGATGCTGTGGCTCAAGTGGAGGTAGGACTATGTGTCATTGAGAGGCTGAGGATGAGCCAGGATCTTACCATCACATGTGTTACCCATGCCTGGGCAAGTGTGCAAGTGTGCAAGGCCCACTCTGGTATAACGTGACTCACAGATTAGATATATGCACAGCTGGACCCAGAGCCTGGGGTTCTGTGTAGCACAGAATCTAAGGTGTACGCTCACAGGTGCACACCAGCTTTTCATATGGTGTGTTGTGGGACACCTTCTAAGGAAGAGAGAAGTTCTTGCCTGAAGAGGTGCCTTAGCAGCAAAACAAAGAGATGTCTTGAGACACTTCCTGTTAGAAGAGAATCAGTCAGTCTCCATACATGTGTGATGGAGAATGGCCTGGAGTTTTCCAGGAACCAGTTTCAGCTGTCACTGTGAAATAGGGAGTTAGGGTCTGGACCCCCCCTCCCACCCCCCTACTTCCCTAACCCTCCCCCCCATCTTGGTCATGTGTTGGATGGTAGAATGTGAAGCCCCTCCCCTCCAGGTAATAGGCGTGTCTGAATCCCTGAAGGCAGGGGTGGAGTCTTGGCTGATAGGTTACTAAATCTGTCAGTCCAGTGCTTGGGACTGGGAGTTTCTTGTGATTCTGCCCACTGACCTGACCCTATTTAGGCCCATACCAGCTCAAACTCCACTAGGCCAGGCCACCTGTCTCTGTATTCCTGTCCTGTCTTCTGTCTCCTGTCTTTTTTCTCATCACCATAACATCCTAATTCAGCTCTCCATTCGAGAGCTGAATTTTGATAATTGTTTTCTTTTTCTCCTCTCTAGCCTTCATGGCTCGGTTTTTGTATTTGTGGGCTGCTGGTTTGCAAGAGAGGGCCACCATGAAGCCTATTTTTCCCCCCAGTCCTAAGGCTTGAACTCAAGGCCTGGGCACTGAACTTCTTTTGTTCAAGGCTAGCAATCCCCACTTTATGTAGTACTGAGGAATTGAACTCAGGGTTTCATGCATGCTAGGCAAGCACTCTACCACTAAGCCACCTTCCCAGCCCCTGTCACTGGCCTTTTAATAAAGACTCCAAGATTCAACCTCTCAAAACGTGGCTTCCTGTTTTCTCACCTAACAACTGCACTATCTGATTCTCCTTAGAAAGGGTGTGTTAGCGAAATGAACTCCCCTCCCATAGTTCAGTACACTCTTTCCCCTCTCCACAGCTTAGCCTGCTCCCTTCCTAGGCAACACGAAGCTCATGTAGTAATGGCAGTCAGTAATCAGCCTCCAGCCCCCCTTTATCTTGGGATGGCACTTCTCTGGGGCAGCTACCACCATATAAGGCATCAAGAGCCCCTCAGAGTGACCTTCAGGTCTGGGACCCCTTATCTACTATCTGAGCAGCAGCCATAAATCCTAGTCTGCCATGATGAAGCCCCTGGCTCACATGCCCACACCAGGATCTCCTCCTCCTAGCCCCTTCTAAACCTCCTAGGTTATATAGATCTCCGCTTCCTAGCCCCTTCTAGCCCCTCCTAAACCTCCTAGGTTATATAGGTCACCTCAGACAATAGCCCGGCCTCCTCCTCACTTCTCCCTTGTGAGAAGGGGTCTTGCTGGACCCTCTCCCAGCAACAGACCTTCCTTTGTTCTCTGTACCCGGATGTCTGCCTGGATTCCTGGCAAAAGTCTAATTTACCCTATGAGGGTGTCAGATAACCCCCCTGTCCCCCCCCCCCAATCCTAGCTGAATCCTAGTTGAGTCTAACCTGAGGATGAGTTCAGGAAACATCTGCTCAGATTCCCACACTGGACCAGATGGGCCAGAGCAACTTTCCTTCCATAACCACTCTCTCCAGGTAACCCTCCTTAGTACATGCCAGATTTGGAATCTGGGGGTGTCTGTGTGTGTGTGTGGGGGGGTAGTGGTGGTGATGGTGGAAATGGGGTCTTGAAGGCAGGGAGAAGTCAAGGGCCAGCAGGGCGGGCCAGACTCCCGGAAACGGAAGTCCCGCGCGCACTTCCGGTGGCAGTGGGCGGCCATGTTGGAGCGGCTGAGGCGGCGCAGCAGCGCATCCTGGGGTCCCCGCGGCGGCGCCGGTAGGTTGGAGCCGCAGGCCTGACCGTGCTGCGGAGGGGCGGTCAGTGAGGCGGCGGGGCAGAGAGTCTGGGTGGTGGCCAGCTCTTCTCTCGGACCCGCATTCTCCGCCGGCTGGGCCGTGCCCCCCCCCCGTTCCCCGCCCACCCGGCGACCCCACCCGGGGTGGGGGTGGGGGGGGGAGCGTCGCCGGACCCGAGCGCGGCGGGCACCGCCCCGCGGCTGGCAGCTCCTTACCACCCTGACTCCCCCCACACACACCCCTCCTTCCTTCCTTCTGCCGTTGGGGAGAGAGGGGTGGGGGCCGACGGATCCGCCTTCCCTCCCCCTCCCTCCCCAATCCCGCCCCCACCCCGAACCCACTGCGCCCCTGAAATCTTACTTTTTCCTCTGTTCCCCCCCCCACCCCAAATCTTTGGTCAACTTTCTTTGCTGGCCCCTTTCAAAGTAAGGTGTGAATCGATGGATCCGGCTGGTGTCTCCCAAAGCTTTTTTTTTTCTCCCCCCCCCCGCCTCCTTTTTTTTTTTGGGGGGGGGTCCAGTAGTGGGTCCTGAACTCTGGGCCTGGGCGCTGTCCCTCAGCTCTTCAGCTCAAGCACTAGCTCTACCACTTGAGTCACAGCGCCACTTCCGGGTTTTTTCTTTTTGCTTATGTGGTGCTGAGGAATCGAACCCAGGGTCTTGAGCATGCAAGGCAAGCGCTCTACCACTGAGCCACCTTCCCAGCCCCAACCGCCTCCTTTTTTTGGGGGGGGGGCGGGCATCAACATGACCCCAGCCCAAGACAGCCTGGGTCAAAGAATTCCCCGGATCACACCGGCCTGCCCCCCCTAATTATCTCTGGCAAAGGTTTGAGGGTGGGAAGTATTATTAAGCCCCCTCCTTTTTTTCTTTTTTTTTTTTTTTCTCTCTGTCTTTTTTTTTTTTTTTTTACTTTGCCAGTCCTAGGATGAACTTGGGGCCCAGGTACTGTCCCCTCAGTTTCTTTTCCTCAAAACCAACACATTACCACTTGAGCCACAGTGGCACTTCCAGCCTTTTCTGTGGATGAGGTACTGAGGAATCGAACCCAGGGCTTCATGCATGCAAGGCAAGTCACCATATATCACTGAGGCCACATACCTTTCCAACCCAGGGCCCTCCTTCATTCTACAATTCACTCACTATATCCACCTCAGCCACTTCATCCCCCTCCCCTACCCCCCAAAAGAAAATAAATTTTAAAAAACCCTGAAGTCTTGTGCAAGGATTATGCCTGGAAAGCATCCTCTGGGGATTGAAAAATGCCTTTTGACACCTGAGGATCCAAGAATGTTTTCAAACAAAGAGCCCCAAGGGGATTTTTTTTCCCTCGGGGGATTCTCAAGACTACAACCAGAATCCTACATCCGCTCCATTAGGGCTTTGGAAAGAAGCTGTGTACACAAGGGCCTCTAAACCCCAGGGATTTACCTGATTCTCAATTGATCTTTTAATGCTCTGCCTTTTTCTGGGTTGGGTGCTAGATGAGAGTTGTCATTGGTGGCTATAACTTTGTAAACAAATCTGGGTGTTAACAAACTCTTTTATCTGGGCGGTACTGAAGTCTGTATCTCTCTCAACTCTGGCTTAGGAAAGCTTAGACCACTAATATAGACTTGATTGACCATTTCACTTCCAGTGGTTCATTGTCTCTTTGATATGGTTGCCTAGCCCCCAGCTGTCTACATGCTCCTTATCAGTTGTTTTTGTTTCTGTCTAGAAAGCTTTCTCTTGGGCTGGGAAGGTGGCTCAGTGGTAGAGCGCTTGCCTTGTATGCTCTAGGCCCTGGGTTCGATTCCTCAGCACCACATAAACAGAAAAGGCTGGAAGTGGCACTGTGGCTCAAGTGGTAGAGCGCTAGCCTTGAGCTGAAGAGCTTGAGGGACAGTGCCCAGGCCCAGAGTTCAGGCTCCACGACCGGACCCAAAAAAAAAAAAAAAAGAAAGCTTTCTCTTCTAGCACTTGGGAGGCTGAGTTAGGGAAATCTGTAGTTCCAGGCCAGGTTGAGTTAAATAAGAGTGCACACGCGCACACACATACACTCACATGTGTGTAGACTTCTGGATCCTTACCTGAGGTAATTGGTCTCCGTAACTTTAGAGCCAGGAATTGACCACTTACTTGGGTGGTATGCCTAGGTTCTCTGAAAGCAGAACATCCCACCCAATCCCCTCCATTTAAAAACTAGCGCTTGTGGTTCATGCCTGTAATCCTAGCTACTCAGGAGGCTGAGATCTGAGTATCACAGTTCAAAGCTAGCCCAGGCAGGAAAAGCTGTGAAACTATCTTCAATAAACTACCAGAAAACCGGAAGTGGCGCTGTGGCTCAGGTGGTAGAGCACTAGTGTTGAGTTGAAGAGCTCAGGGACAGTGCTCAGGCCCAGAGTTCAAGCCCAGTGACCGACAAAAACAAAAAGTTCCATGGACTTTTCCTGTCTGGGATGGCTTTGAACTGGGATCCTTAGATCTCAGGCTCCTGAGTAGGTAGGATTACAGGCGTGAGCTTCCAGCCCCCAGCAAGCTTGAACTCTGAACCACCTTTGGATCCTCAGATCTCAGCCTCTTGAGTACCTAAGATGGGCATCAGCCACCAGTGCCTGGCAAGATAATCTTGTCAGTTTGTGTGTGTGTGTGTGTGCGTGTGCGTGTGTGCGTGCATGTGTGCCAGTACTGGGGCATGAACTCAGGACTTTGAGCTCTTGGATTTTTCTGCTGAAGGCTGGAGTTCTACCACTTGAGCCAGACTTATACTCAAGAATGTTAATGATGGATTTGCCTTGCCTTAGAACTGGACTCCTGGGCTGGGAATTTGGCTCAGTGATAGAGTGCTTGCCTACCATGCATGAGGCCCTAGGTTCGATTCCTCAGCACCACATACACAGAAAAAAAACAAAAGTGGCACTATGGCTCAAAAACTCAGGGACAGTGCCTATGCCCTGAGTTCAAACCTCAGGACTGGGAAAAAAAAAAAAAAAACTGGGCTCTTTTAGAACAGGGATGTTTGCCTGTGTTCCTAGGATAGAATCTAAGTTTTGGGCATCAGAAAATAGTTGCAGTAGAGCTGGGAAGATGTCTTAGTGGTAGTGTTTACCTAGCATGTGAAGCCCTGGGTTCAATTCCTCAGCACCACGTAAACAGAAAAGGCCAGAAGTGGCGCTGTGGTTCAAGTGGTAGAGCACTAGCCTTAAGTAAAAAGAAGCTTAGGGACAATGTCCAGGCTGTGAGTTCAAGGCTCAGCACTGGCCAAAAAAAAAGAAGAACAGCCAGATGCCAGTGGCTCACATCTGTAATCCTGGCTACTCAGGAGGCTGAGATCTGAGGATGAAGGTTCAAAGCCAGCCCGGGCAGGAAAGTCCTTGAGACTCTTATCTCAAATAAACCTCCAGAAAACCCGAAGTGGCGCTGTAGCTCAAGTGGTAGAGCACTCACCTTTAGTTAAAGAGCTGAGGAACAGTGCCCCAGGCCCATTGTTCAAGCTCCACAACTGACAGAAAGAGAAAAGGAAAATAGTCACAGCATGGGACTTGGCAGAAAGGAGTGGGAGGATTGCTTGAGCCTGTGAATTCAAGACCTGCTTGAACAACATAGTGAAATTTTAGCTAAAACAAAATACAAGATTGAACTAGACATAATAGCATATGCCTAATATCAGAAGTGGAGATCCTGAGACAGGAGGATTATGTAAGTGGGTGCCATTGGCTCACGCCTGTAATCCTCGCTACTCAGGAGGCTGAGAGATCTGAGGATCACGGTTCAAAACCAGCCTAGGCAGGAAAGTCTGTGAGACTCTTATGTCCAATGAACCACCAGAAAACCCAAAGTGGCGCCGTGGCTCAAAGTGGTAGAGCGCTAGCCTTGAGCTGAAGAACTCAGGAACAGTGCCCGGGTCCAGAATTCAAGCCCCATGACTGATGAAAGTTGAAGGGACATGGTTCAATGATGGAATATTTATCTAGCATGCCTAAGACCCAAGGTTTGATCCCTTCGGCATTGCCAAAAAGAAATGAGTAGAACTGAATTCAAATGAGCTAGGCTTAAACCTTTCTAGAAAGCCCAGGAACAAGTTGCTTGGCTCTGGGGTGCTTGCTAAGTGTATCCAGAAGAAAATGCCAGATCTAATCGTAGCCCAATATGGTAGAGATCAGAAAACAGAGGGTTTTACCTCAGCACTCTATCCAGGCTGTGCCATTGGGGTGGGGGGGAGGAGATTTGGCCTGTCTAGCTCCATATATTTCGGTGCCATTCTTACTGATTGTCTTCTTCTTGCCTTGGAGGTGGCAGGCGCTAGTTTGTGGATACCCAGAGAGATCTGCAGTGCCTAATGCCATGAGCGTGGTGGCGCAGCATGTGGAAGAAAAAGCTGTCCACTCCTGGTCACGCATCTCCACAGCAGGGAAGAAGGTGCTGGAAGAGGCACTGCTTGTCTTTAATCCCATGAGCCAGGATCTCTGTGCCACCGAAGCCCAACTTGTGGCCTTTCTGCAGGGCCTGCGAGATGATGGCTTCCAGCCAACCATTCTGCGCAGCGGTGATGTCTATGGCTATAGTTCGTGCACAGCCTCTCCCCCAAGCCAGACGAAACCACAAGCTTGTGCCAACTCAACTTCCACATCCCCTCCTCCAGCCAGTGCTCCCCAAACGGCCATGCCGTTATCCACAAGCCCAACCACACTATTCCCAATGTCACTGTCTGGCAGGCTGGCCAAAGAATCCACACCAGCTCTTGCCAAGCATACTACCACCAACCTGCTGCTGAGCTCCCTGAAGCAGTCAAGTGCCAGCCACACCAGTGGCAAAACCGTGGGCTTCCCTGCCCACCTTTATCCAGGTGTTTACCCTGCCATGCAGCTCTCTGTTGTCCTTGAGGCCCTGGTTCCATTCAAGACTCACCTGCCTTGCTTGGATGCTAAGCACAAGGCCCGGTCACTGCAGCTGTCACTTGCAGACTGTCCTCTAAAGCTGCGGAAGGGTTCGGGAAAAGGTCCAGGGAACCCTGCACCCAAAGCCCCCAGAAAAAACACAACAAGCAAGGGCCTCAAATGTCTGACTCACAAAGGCCAGGGGACTGGACCCCGACAAGGCACTGGGCCCCAGAACAAGACCTCTAGAGCCACTGGGTCCCACAATAGCATGCAAGTGAAAAAGAGCTCTGCCCTAGGCACCAAGACGAAGGCAGCTGGAACTCTGATCAAAGCTGCCCAGGCTCTTGTCAGTGTAGCTCAAACACAAGCCAAGGCAGCACTGGCCAGGGGCAAAACAGCCCTGGTCAGAGGCAAGAAGGTACTGGCCAGAGGCAAAACAGCACTGGTCAGAGGCAAAACAGCACTGGCCAGGGGCAAAACAGCACTGGTCAGGGGCAAAACAGCACTGGTCAGGGGCAAAACAGCACAGGTCAAGGCCCAGAAAGCACTGCCTAAGGGAAAATCAGCACTTCCCAGAGGTAAGACAGCACTCGCCAAGAGCAAAACAGCACAGGCCAAGGCAAAAGTCGTGGTCACACAAGCCAAGGCTAAAGCAAAGGCAATAGATGCCAAAGCCAAGGTGGCTCAGACCAAACCCAGAGGCAGGCCAAAAGGATCTGTTCAGATCAGGACTGCAAGGAAGACCCAGAAAAGCCAGTCTGAGACTGTGGGACAGAAGAGGAAAAAGGCTGAGGAGGCAAAGGATCTTCTTCCCAAGAAGAGGACACGGCTTGGACTCCAATCTAAGGCTTGGCTGGGACCTGCTACAGCCAAACTTAAGGCCCGTGCTATAAAGGTAGATAAGCAGTCCTCCGATGATGAAGTTCTGAAGTGGGCCCAGCGAATCTTCCAGGTGAACCTGTCTCCTATAATACGGCTTCAGCCATTGCTGTCATACTCAACATCCTGATTCCTTCATAAGAATGTTTAGAAGAGCTCTGCAACAGTGAGGACTCTGAGTACCTCTCTAGGGCCCTGGTGGGCCAATCAGCCTCCTCTCAAAAACTGGAGGATTTGGGGGAGGGTGGGAAGTGGGAGGGGTGTTATGGCACAATGCACTGTGACTTGTTCTTTGAGTTGTATGTTCCCTGTTAGCTTCTATCACATTTTATACCTTTCCACCTTTAGTCTCCCTGCTCATCATCCGTGTGTGTGTGTGTGTGTGTGTGTGTGTGTGTGTGTGTGTGTGTGTGTTTAGCTGCTGGCAGGCCAGCTTGAACCTGGGGAAATTAGATGAAAGAAAGAGGATCTTGGTAGCTGGGGGTAGATAGTTAATTTGAGTAACGAGAGTGGACAAGGCTTCAAGCCTCTTAGAAAAAGTGAGGCGTAGTTCAGGTGTTTAGCTCCTTTTGAGTATGTGAGAGGGACCCCCCCTTTTTTTTTTTTGGTTGATTGTGGATTTGAACTTTGGGCCTGGGTGCTGTTCCTCAGTTCTTCACTCAAGGCTAGCACTCTACTACTTGAGCCACAGTATCACTTCCAGTTTTTCTAGTGGTTAATTGGAGATAAGAGTCTCACGGACTTTCCTGCCCGGGCTGGCTTTGAACCGTGATCCTCAGATCTCATCCTCTTGAGTAGCTAGGATTATAGGTGTGCGTCACTGGTGCCTGGCTTTTAACAAAGGTTTTTCTTTTTTCTTTTTTGCCAGTCCTGTGGCTTGAACTCAGGGCCTGTCCCTGAGCTTCTTTTGCTAAAGGCTAGCATTCTACCACTTGAGCCACAGTACTACTTCCAGCTTTTGCTGTGTATGTAGTACTGAGGAATCAAACCCAGGGCTTCATGCATGCTAGGCAAGCACTCTACCACTAAGCCACATTTCCAGCTCCATTGTCTCTAATAGGCAATAAAGGACTGATTCTACTCTGTTCTCAGCACTGTCTCCCAAGCAGGATGTGCCAACTATCTCAAACATACAAGCCCATGTTAAAGAGGACAAAATGTGGTCAGACCTGGGAGTAGAGAAAGTGATCAGAAGGCACTCCGACTGCACCTGTGGCTCCCTCCTGTAATCCTAGCTACTCAAGAGGCTGAGATCTGATGATCATGGTTCAAAGCTATCTGGGGCAGGAAAGTCTGAAAAACCACCAGAAAACCAGAAGTGGTTCTCTGGTTCAAGTGATAGAGCACTAGCCTTGAGCTGAAGAGTTGAGGGACAGCGCCCAGGCTCAGAGTTCAAGCCCCATGACCAACCAAAAGTGGAGCTGTGGCTCAAGTGTTAGAGCACTAGCTTTGTGTTAAAAAAACAAAACTCAGGGACAGCACCCAAGTCCTGAGTTCAAGCCCCAGGGCCAGTACACACACACACACACACACCAGGGCCAGTACACACACACACACACACACAGTGCTAATGAGGTAAAATAGGAGCCCTTCCGGTTCTACTATCACCTTATCCAACCAAGGAAAATTGGCAGTTGTGCTGTTCAGAATTAACCTGTAGGCACCATAGCCAGAACATAGCCAGAAGCCTGTCTGTCAGCTGCAAGTGGGGAAGAGGTTGAGGACTCTTGAAAGGCTGTTTTTGGTTTGTGGAGATGATGTGGGTTGTCCTGGACAGGATGAATCCTATAGAGTTCTGAGTCTACCAGAGGCTCATGTGTGTTATGGAATTTTGGAGTGAAAAGGTAACATATATCTACTGTCTGTCTTGGGCCTTTTCCCGAGATTGCTTCGGTGAATCTTGGGTCTAGCAAGGCCATAGCATTGAAAATTGTTCTATCAGATTAATCATGGCAGCAACAAGACCTGCTGGCAGGCAGAGAACGGTAAGAATGTCAACTTGCCCATGTGTAAGAGTCTCAGATCATGGCCTGATTACAGACTAGCCTTTAGAGCTACAGTTGAGAAGGTCACAAACTGGGCCTTGCCCACTTCATTGAATCTTTCACCGTGATCCAGTCCCCCAGACTGCAGGTTTGCTCTATAAGTGCTGTCCCTAATGGGTACCAGTTAGTCTTTCCCCTGATGATAGAACTCTTGGGCCCCAGACATTCCAGTTCTGCTCCCTGAAAGCTCAATGGACCACGTCCATTCCTTGTATATGTACTAGTACTTCACCTGCAATTGCTCAGGCTGCTTCCTCCTGCCCCTCACCACAGATCAGTGATCTCATCTGTGACCACTCTTATAAGAAGTGAGACCCTATCTCAAAAATAACCCAGAGGAGCTGGGCTCCAGTGGCTGAGATCTGAGGATCATGGTTCAAAGCGAGCCCAGGCAGAAAAGTCAGTGAGAGTCTTATCTCCCATAAACCACTAGAAAACTGGAAGTGGCGCTGTGGTTCAAGTGGTAGAGTGCTGGCCTTGAGCTGAAGAGCTGAGGGACAGAGCCCAAGCCCAGAGTTCAAGCCCCACAACTGACAAAAAAAAAGCCTAAGGGATAACAAGTCTGAGTTCAGTGGCCCTGAGTTCAAGTCCCATACTGACAAAAAGAAAATAGGCCAGGCTGGGAAGGTGGCTCAGTGGTGGTAGAGCGCTTGCCTTGCATGCATGAGGCCCTGGGTTCAATTCCTTAGCACCATATAAGCAGGAAAAAAAGCCAGAAGTGGTGCTGTGGCTCAAATAAAGTGCTAGCCTTGAGCTGAAGGGCTGAATGACAGTGGCCAGACCCAGAGTTCAAGCCTCACAACTGGCAAAAAAAAAAAAAAATAGGCACCCCAGTTGGGCACTAGTGGCAGAGATTGAGAGAACTATTGTTGGAAGCCAGTCCAGGCAAAAAATTCATGAGAACCCATCTCAACAGAAAAAGCTCATTAAGAGTTTAGGGGCAAGGGCAGAGCCTGGCTCAGATGAACTGATCTCCTGGGGTACTGCAATGTCATAAGAATCAGGTATTAGAGGTGACAGGGCAGCCAATCTGCAGGCCCTGGAGCAGTAGACAGCAGAACTGTACGAGCACATGACTTGGCACACCCAACTCTCTGATGTGTGTGTATGTGTTTGTGTGTGTGTGTGTGTGTTGTGGGCCAGTTCTGGGGCTTGAACTCAGGGGGCTTGGACACTGTCTCTGAGCTTTTGTGCTCAAGGCTAGTGCGCTACCACTTGGAGCCACAGCTCTACTTCTGGCTTTCTGGGCATTTATTAGAGATAAAAAAAATTCTCCTGGACTTTCTGGCCTGGGCTGGCTTTGAACCACAATCTTCAGATCTCTGCCTACTAAGCAGGTAAGATTATAGACATGAGCCACCCAGTTGATCTAACATTTTAACCCCAGAGGACCCCCCCCTCAGATGACCCTGGAACCCTCCCCCTCCCCCAGACACCTATTCCAATGAAGGGACAGTCCACAGGACTGAACTGCCCATCCCCATGTTCCTTTGTAAAGCAGGGTGTGTTCCCCTTCAGGAACTCCCAGCATACTTCTGCCATCCTGCAGCTCCCAGTACTCTGCCTGGCCCCAAACAATGCCTTCCTATCTGTAGCAGCCCAGAGCAAGCTTGATCCACTGAAGACCAGTGAGTGGACTCTTCCCGCTGGAGTCCCAGGGGTTTGGGCGGGGCAGGCGCATTCCAACCCTGGGCACCAGGGCTCCCAGAGATCTGGAAGGTCCGGAGTGGATAGAACACAAGATTGGGATTCTCTTGCCGCTGATCTGCTCCAGTCCATTTTCCAGTGTGGGAACAAGGCATCTCTGCTCCCAGCCTGCTTTGCTGTAGGGTGTAGGAGAGACAGAGCTCCCTGGAACTGTGCTTCAGGCACAGTGGGGGGCTCTCCCATCCTTCCTGTCTTTTGAGCTGGGTTAAAGTTCCCCCAGAGTTCTGAATAGAGGAACTTACCTGCTCTATTTGCATCCTTCCACTTCCCTGAGACATTGGAGCCGGAGGATCACAGCTGTGTGTGCAGTGATTTCCTCAGGGATGACAGGGACCATGTTTGGCCCTGTATGGAAGATCACAAAGATTAGAAACCTCTCATTTACTTCTGACATGTTTCCAACTTTGTGAGCTCTGCTCCTGGGGTGGCCTAAATACATCAGATTCCTTATTTTCCCCTGGCTCTTGGCTTGGGGGGCCCAAATGAAGATAAGTGGGTGAAATGATCAGTGTCTGGTTTCTGGGATGAGGGCGGGAGCGGAGCGGACTCTGTTCTGTGGAATGTTCTTGTCTCTGATCCGCTCCAGAGTTTCTTTTTTGCCTTGCTTCCCAACTTTGCTCAAACTCTCCTAACTCTGAGCTTCAGTGGAGGGATTGCTGCCCTGCTGAACAAACCCTGGGACCTTCTGAAGGCTGGAAGAGAAACCAGCCCAGGACCCCACACCATCAGGGTCAGCTTGAGACCCTAAGGGGAGGCGGATACTATTGAGCCCCAAACCCTTCATCTCCCTTCTTTCCTTTTTCTTCAGGATGGAGCGGGCCTCGGGGGAACGAGGGAGGGGCTGGCGATCTTATTCTGTGCCTTGGGAACTTGGACTGGGCCTACTTCTAAGCGGTAAGGGAGGGCAGGAGGGGGGTGGACACCTAAGATTGTGGAATGTGATGTGGTGGTAGGTGGTGGGGGTAGCCACCACTGGGGAACATGGGATAGGACCATCTGATGGAAACAACTGGAGAATTGGCTGACCCACTATCTTCCTACCCAGTGTTGGCTGCCATACTGGCCCAGGCCCAGGCCTTGGATGTGCCTGGTTGTTCACGAGGAAGCTGTTACCCAGCCACGGGAGACCTGCTGGTGGGCCGTGCAGACAGACTGACTGCCTCATCGACCTGTGGCCTGCACGGCCCCCAGCCCTACTGCATCGTTAGTCACCTACAGGTACTGAGGGGGCCTGGATAGAAGGCAGCATCAGAATGGGGCTATCCCTGGTGAAGGCCTTTGATCCTAACCTTGACCCAATCCAGGATGAGAAGAAGTGCTTCTTGTGTGACTCCCGACGCCCCTTCTCTGCGCGAGATAACCCGCACAGCCATCGCATCCAGAATGTAGTTACTAGCTTTGCACCGCAGCGCCGGACAGCCTGGTGGCAATCAGAGAATGGTGAGGCTGTTGGCATGGGTTCTGGAATCAGCAAGGCTGCACACCTGTAGCCTCGTGGCCTTGACCTCTTAACTCCTGCCCCAGGTATCTCCAAGGTCACCATCCAGCTGGACTTGGAGGCTGAGTTCCATTTCACACACCTCATTATGACCTTCAAGGTGCCTGCATGTTTGGGAGCCTGGCTAAATTACCCCCTTAGCTCCCCATTACCCACCCGTCCCCGACTGATCCTCCCCACACCCCCTATTTTTCAACCCCAATCTCTCTGAGTTCATAATGTGAATGGTACATGCCTTCCCATAAACCATTCATCTCCAGATCTTTGCACACACAGTTTTTCTGCCCCAATCCTGAATCACAGCCCACCCAATAGAAGTGTCTTCCTTCCTGGGACA